CACGCCCGCAGGCCATACGCAGGTACGCACACATTTGCCAGGCTGTTGTCTCCTGAGTCTAGATTCCCCGCTTACGCAGATTGAAATCGAACAATTTTCTAGCCGAATTTGGTGTCCATGGACGCACAACTGGCTCTGGTTCTGCTCCGCGAATCGCCTGCGCCCTCTATCCATAGTTGCTAGATGGGAGCCATAAATCACGAAAGTTGACGAGATCCATAACTTCAGATGCTTCCTGAGTCCAATTAGTCACAGAGCAATTTGAAGAAAGATTCGATGGTCAATTGATCGATTGATAATGTTCAGATTTTGGAATTAGGGATTTCATGGTAGTCTATGAAGCGATGACATTTATGTCCCCACACAGTAAAAAAGGAAATACGCAATCTTAGAAACGATCAGCAAGGACATGCCTTAAAATATTTAGGTTATTCCTATCTTGTAAAATAAGAATGTCAATTGGACCACATCTTGCAATTAAGAACTATAAGTTCTGGCTCATCCGTAAAAACACGTATGTGCATAGAAAAGTTAATGATACATACGTTGTTCCGAAACTGAGCAAGAAATTGTAGTTCCTGATTGCTAAATGTAGTCCAGAATCGTATTTTGATTTACGCAATTATAGATAAACAAAAACAGATCGAATCTGTTTAATCACCATGTTTCTACCTCTGATGCCTTTCTTGCCTGATGATCTCTGGGAGGATAGGGGGCAATGGTGATTGGGCGTCGCAGAGCGCGAGGCAGCGCTATAAAAGCGACTTTATGTATGTATGTTTCTACCTCTGCTCTAATAGTCTTGTTGCAAGGATTCAAATTTGCTCAGGTTCACAAGTTGCCAATCTATGTGAACCTGGTACAAAATTTCAGAGGATGCAGTAGGTTTAAAAAAATTATTAATCCTTCGGTTTTCACTTCGGACTTATTTTGCCTATTAAAAGTGGTGTTATGTAAAAATTGTGAATAGCGTTAATTTGAACTTATCTAAGTCCTCATTTTTTTGCTGGAACGGTTTTAAATAACGCTTTTATTTAAATCGAGTCTTGGTTTCCAGCATATTCCTTTCCGCGTTTTCCTCATGGGTTAGTTCCATGTGGGCAAATTTCTGCTCGAAGTCTGGCAAACTAAACGAATGGTTGCCGGACTCTCTGAAATAAAAAAAATCGCCCGCTTGCCTTGAAATCAGTGGCGGAATCATGGGGTGGGCGGGCTGTAGAGCGCCAGCCTGCGGCTACCTTTCCCCAAAAACTTCGGTGTCTCCAAGAAATTTAATTTTACAGACGTATGATCAATTGAATTTATGTGAAGTGAATTTGAGACTTGAAGATACATGATCGGTTACAAGTGGCCATGAAAAATAAATTTATTTATTTATTTTAAAGTTGGAACATGAACTCCCTTTAAGGGATCGTACAAGTCGTACAAATGAATCAGATACAAATCGTACAAATGATTTAAATTAGGCAATGTAAGAACAAAATAAGAAAATGACAGAGCAAAATAAGAAAATGACCAAGAGCAAAATAAGAAAATGACTAAGAAGCGATGAATAAAGGCTAAAGATTTGAGAGGTCGTCAACATGGTAAAATGCATTCTCCAAGACGAGTTTTAGAAAGAAGACGTTTCTTTAACCCCTCTTAAGTGTTTTTCTCATCTCGGAGGGAAGGGCATTAAGTAGTTGAATTGATGCTGGTCTTATATTTGTTTTTGAAATAGAGTAGGTGAACTTTTCTGGAGTTATGAAATTATGCCTGGTGTCGTGGCTATGTGAGGGGAATAACTCATTAAGATCAATTACTTTGTTAAATATGGCATATTTCAAAGTTTTGTAGATGCACAGGGATGGCGCGAATTAAATGACCAAGGACAGCACCATGTTTAAGCAGTTTAAGCATAAATCGAGTCAATTTTTTTTCAAATGAAATTCAAAAATTATGCTAAACTTATTAAATACAGGTGCTAACTGCTAAGACTTAGTGAGTTTGTGGACTACCGCTCTCTTTTTGTGCCGTAGTATCTTGATTTATTTTGCGAGGAAAGCTCCGTACTCTTAAAGGATGCCTGTTCTTGATACATTGGAGAGCCTTCAATTCTGTATGATACTGTACAACACCTCTGTTGCGATCTAGTTGCTTGAAGCGCTGCGGCGCGGCGGGCTAGGGTGACCAGCGCGACACGCGCATCGGCGCCTTCAAACCTAACAGGGATACTTCAAGCATTGCGCAATGCGTGAAGTATCCCTGTTAGGTTTGTAGGCGCCAATGCGCGTACCGCGCTAGCAGCACGCCGCGCGCCGCGCCGCTTCGCTCTGTGTTTGGCTCTAATATTTAAGTAACATTGGTTTTGACGTATCTCACTCTTTTTTAGGGGTTCAAAAGCATCTTCACATTGATAAGAATAACTAATTGTAAAATTTCATCATGTAATCATTTTGAGGGTTTCATCCTATCAGCTCTGCACAAAATTTTTACACCCTATACCTCGCGTCTTTCTTTAGGACGGCAAATTGAAGTTTCTGTATGCTGTGGGTAAATTCGATTCAAGTACGTTTCGCCGTGTAAAATTTCAGAAGAAACGCAAGGAAGCTCAAATAACCTTTCAAATTTGAGGATACATTGGAGAGGATCCTCGGGTTTGCGAGAGAATTCACATCTACATCTTACATCCAGTCAAACTCTCCATCCACTGATAGCGATTTAATTGGCAGGCTCTCCGTAGCTGCAGAGTAAACGATTGGCACTCGAAGACCTCGCTTAAAGTTACAACCCTGCCAACGTTTTCGCTCCCTATCTGTGCATGGAGAATTTGAATATAGGTGGTTATGAAGGCGGGCTCTCACAGAATGCGAGGGAACCTACCATTACGGTCTCAACTCGAGAACTTTTTGTGAGCTTCGAACTCCATTTTAAGGAAAACCAGGGGCAGCATCGTGGTTCTCGCGAAATTAAGCATAGGAAGAAGTACAGGAAGAGATGCTTAAATTGCAAATCTACACGCATCGCACACGAATACTTGAACAAACGATCCTCGCAGTACGAGTGAAGCATTAGCGCACAGTTATAACTCCTTCAATATATACAGGGTGTACCAAAAGTCCGTCCCACCCCTGCTAACTTTTGAACGAATTAAGCTAGGGTAATGAAACTTTGGGAATGTTCCTATCTCAAAGGGGACCATCTTTTGGGGGGTCAAAATTTTGGTCCCCCCTCAGGGGGGGGGGCGCGGGGGGCCCCCAACTTTTTTTTTCAAATGGCAACCCCTATCTTGTGATACATCATTCGAAAGAACATAAAAAACTAAGAATTTTGGCACAAACCGCAGATCAATATCTTAATTTTTGACCGAGTTATGATAGGTCAAAGGTCAAATTTGACCTATTTTCAAAAAATCATAACTCCGGTTCAAATTATCGTAAAGAAAAAAATAAAACGGGAAAATTTACCAAATTGTGTCCGCTTTTAAGTAAAAATTGCATAAATCACTTCGCTGTAATTTTAAGGGGGGGCTCGGAGCCCCAAATACGTCAATTCAAAGGTCATTCAATTTTCCCGCGAAAAAAGGCAATTTCCCCTAGATTTGCCTCCACATTATCTCAGTAAGGTCAAAATTAGTTCAACATTACGTTGGCAAGTCCCCAAATTTTGGGAAAAGTTTAAAAAAAAAACGAAATTTAAGGTGATTAAATTTGACCGTTTAAAGGAGACAGCGGCTACTCCCCAATTGGATTGGGCACTTTAATATTTTACAAGAGAGCAATTGTGAATATTCCTTTGAAAATTTAAAGGAATTTGCTTTGAAATATACGCAGTATACATGAATTTTGCCATGCTATGGAAGAACGCCCTATGAACATTCGAGAGTTGCCAAATTACCTCGGATAAAGCGTGTATTTTTGAAGAAAATTATGCGTATTGTTTGAAATTTTCAGATGTTTTAGATAAAATTGCGAACAAAATTATCTGAAAAAAATTGAGGAAAAATATTCTCGATTTTTATTAGTAAATCATCGTTTTATTGACGAAAATCTGGCATCGTCTGAGGGCTCATGTGTGGTTCTTCCTTAGCACAGCAAAATTGTTGATTAATAGGGCCATTTGGCAGCAGCGCGAGCGTGGCGGAGCCTCTCACGGGCACGGGCCCGGAGTTTGGCGTCCGCGAAGCGCGAGTGCGAGCGATCCGCAAGAAGCGCGAGTGTCGGCGAGTGTTCGCGAGCGTCGGCGTCGCGTCGCAGCATCGGCATCAGCGGCGTCGGGCGATGCAAATTCTTGACCTGCCCTGGTCGACTCCGGTCCTCCAGCCCCGGTCAGTTCAGATTCGGCGCGGTTCCCTCAAGTCCTCCTCCGCGATCGTGCGCCGAGCTCCGCCGCCGAGCACCCCCAACTTTACCCCCACCCCCCANCCCCGCCCCTGGACTCGCGAATTTTTAAAGTTTCCTCACTCGCGACAAGTTTCTTCCGACAGTGATCTTCGAGCCTCGTCTCATCTCGTTCATTCCCACCGTCGGGTTTCATGCCGCTGCCTAACGGAGGCTCCCATTCCGATGCCAAAAAAAAAATCCCCACCTTCCTCTCTCGAAGAGTAAATAAATTATCGAATAAATAAAAATTCGACTTTATATATTTTTAAATGAACTAGGTCTTAGTGAACCGTGCCATACATTCTACAAATACTTCGTAAAGATTAATATATACGATGTGTTATACTAGATTTATGTTGTGCTTTCAATAACTGGGTTGATTGCCAAATAATTTTCGACCCTTTTCCGGGAACGTATATTTGATCTTATATCGTAAAATAGCTACGATCTAGTGAAATATCATCTCCTGTGCCATATTTTCCACAATTAAACCCTCAGAGATACTTGGTGAAGTTTGATAATTGATCAAATTGACTTTTTTTGTTGTGCCAGCAGAAACTAGTAACAAAAAGGTATTAATCTTTTTTAGAAGCAATTGGATCGACCACATGTGGGATTTCAGCCTAAATTTACGCCGAGTTGTAAATTTCAGCGTAAATGAGAACTAAATACTGCTACTCCATCACTATGGGTGTCGTTTGTGCTCACATTTTACTCGACCTGATTTTTACCTAGAATACCTAACCTCAACCCTCGTGCATCTGTGGGTCCTATTTGTTTTCGGACCTCGTGAGTAGTATTGGAACTATGGGGTCAGTGAAATTACGCTGGTGTTTCTGTGTGTGCGTGTGGTGTTTCATCTATTGCCGGCCACTGACTGCTGTGGAGAATACCACCGATGCTCTCACTAGTAACACGTTGTGTAAGTAACCTTTCACCTTGCTCTTTCAACTTTTTACGCCAAAATCGTGGCGGCGCGGCGGAGACTGCGAGACCTTGCCATCTGCCCCCTCCTCTGGTCATTGGTCTGCCTCGATTTGCATTCAGTCAGCTATCCACGTTTTTTTCTGATTTCCATTGCCATGTAATAAGATGTGCGGCTTATCATTAAAATAACAAAGATACGTTTTATGCGGTGAGGGGGATTGGAGGGTAAAAATTTTTTATCACAAATTTATTGTAAAAGAACTTTTTGTGACTTAGGAATATCTGCAGGTACAAGAAACACGCATATAGCACTAAGAATGTTAAAGAAAAATTACTTTTAGAACAAAAAAAAAACAAAAAACCAAAAACGAAATCACTGTATAGAGAATGCAGGAACGCATCCAATTTTTATAATATATCCAAAACACAAACATCTTGAGGACGCGGAACCATTTCAGAAAAAATTATACTTTTTTCAAATGTAAGAGTCATACGATGCATAGGTAGATCCACCTTTTAGTGGTCAAAAACTATAGATTACCACCTACAGTGTAATGAGATTTTTTGGAATAATGAGTTCCGTTTTTCACAAAGAACGGGAATTCTGCTTTTTGGAAAACACTGACAACGACGTCATCCAAAATGATACATGATTTCTCTCACCTAACAATAAATTCAGTTTTTTTATACCTGATTCCTCAACAATCAAACATTTATCTACCATCTTTAGAGAAGCATGATAAATAGTCCACACCATATTCGATCGTGTCCATCCATTGATTCTGTTCATTGGCGGATCCAGCGATTTGGCAACACCGGATTTCCTCCATTTAAACTTATGGAAATGTATCGATTCTAGGAGGGACCAGGTGCTCCGACAAGAATCGATTATTTAGCATAGTTTTAAATGGAGGCAATCCGGTTATGCCAAATTGCTGGATCCGCCTCTGATTCTGTTCATCTGGCCGCGTGTGATAATTCCTCCTATCATTGAGCTTTTTGAACGGCAGTTATGAAGTGCTGTGCACCTCTATGATGCAATACGGTTATCCAAAGATCACAGTAGCTAGCGATTGAATAGAGAGGTTTCAGCGTGATTTTGAGTCAACTACATGTCGCGCCAATAATAAGCCTCGGAGTTATTTGCTTCGATTTCAGTCCAATGACGGATAATCGATATTTCCCCATTCGATGTTGTGATAAAGGATCGATTATTAAGGTGCTCGTTGCAGTCACCCTATTTATCGATCCTTTTCCATTGGTTCAAATGGCAGATCAATTGATACATCGACATCGCAAAACACGTTACGCCATTGTTGTAGTCATTGCCTAGAATTAGTTCATGAGTGATTTGTACAGCTGGAAAGTTAGAGTCAACAGGATAACATGAGGAGATCTTGCTTCACATTTACTCTGAAAATTCATCCAATAAATGCCATTTTTCCCAAATCAATCTGGAGTAGGCCGTATTTATGTAAAAGTGGCTTTCAAGACGAAAATAGCGATTTCATCTTTCAATAGCGTTCATACTAACGACTGCGATATGCATTACTTTGTTATAATGTTTGGCTACCGCGATAATGGAGATCAAACGAATAACGGTGCATGGAACAGTGGAACACTCCTTGAGTAGATGGCTAGAAGTTTTTCATGGCCTAATCTTAAGTGCTTTGAGTTGAGCCAAGTGTCAAATGTTGTATAAATTGTCTCTATTTCCCTCGTATCTGAGTGGAATAGGAATAGTTCAACAGCGTGCCTTCGGCTACTAATACTTAATCGCAATTCGCGGCTGACAAGATGCCAATCAGGTGTCATTGATCTAGGTTAGACTGGAGGCAAAAAAATAAACGTAGCAGATTCTGGGTTTTAAAGTGTGAAAGACAAAGAGTATTTGCTGTGGTTACTTCGAGAAAATTCCTCTGCATGCGCTTTGCTAATATGCCGTTTCGTCCATCATCATCGTAGAGCATATTCATAGAGTAGAGAGAGTCGTAATGTGAATTGGAGAGCTAGCGCCCTGCGCAATGTTCGGGTCGAGGAGTTCCGAGCCCGGTGTGTGCCGAGCCTCGGTTACTTTTTCGAAACATTTTCGATCCAAAATGGCGATGTAGAATACGTTGTAATTTCTATCCTCTTTGTTTACATCAGATAGTCACGCCCCCGTGTATCGAAAATAATCGTATCAAAAAAAAGACCCGGCGCACAGTGGATCGAGTCAATGAGAGAGGTCGGGCATGAGATTTTTCACTAAAATTGCAAATTTAAACGTTTATTTCGCCACATTTTTAATTTGAAGGGGTGTTCATAGAGGACAATTTTACGATGCATCCAATTGACTCACTTTTAAAACCTCAAAATTTTGTATAAACGGAGTTAAAAGCGTTTAAAGTTTCCAAATTTTGTCCGACCTCTCCAATTGACTCGATCCAGTGTGCGGCGTGACAAAGGAGTCTCGGGATTCGGGACCTGGTAAATGCTTAAAGCTGGTGCCAGCTTTCCCATTGGCATTACGACTCTATGTACTGTATAATTTTATTATGCATCTATAGCGAGGCATAGAGTAATGGAAAGGAATTCAACAATATGGAATGACTAGTTTAAAACGCCTCATGAGATCCTATCCTTGGAACTCAGTAGAATGAATCGGATGGTTCGGTCATCCATAAGGGAATTATATTCGTTTTATCATAGAGGATCTGATCAATTTTCACTATGCATTAATTTTTTTAAAAATCACTGATTGGAAGAGAGTAAGGTAGGCCAAGTAGATGCATAAATTACATTTTATTCAACCAGATGCATTTCGGCCCATGGGGCCATCTTCAGTAGTATACATATGGGAACACAGCATACAAGCAAAATCGAAAGGCACTAAATGTAGTTAGTACCCGTAGTTTTATTCTTAATTCCATGCCTTTCGATTTTGCATATATATTTGCTTGTATGCTGTGCTCCGATATGTATATTACTGAAGATGGTCCCATGGGCCGAAATGCATCTGGTTGAATAAAATGTAATTTATGCATCTACTTGACCTACTTTACTCTCTTCCAATCATGTTTTAAAAGATGCAATATGCGCTCTTTCAAAACCTAAAAATCACTGCATGACAGAGGCGAAAGACGTTCAATGGAAAAGAGCTTTTAAACATGTTCTCAAATAGGTGTCCGAAAAAGAATGATCAAGTGACAGATTTTATGCCCTCTTCCCACTTTTAATGACATGCTCTATACCAACCTACAATTGTATTATTTTTACGTATTGTACTCTATCACGCACTATAAAATGGACTGAGTTAAGCAGAAAGGAACCAACCCACATTTTGGAAAAAATTTAGTTATGAGTGGTTTTGAACTCAACCACTGCTCTACTATCTATCGCCATAAATTCAAAGTTTTTGTTGGAGCAAATTTTGTAGAAATTGAACTTGAAGTTTTATCTTTTACATTGAGTCTTATGCAGGAGTCAAACTTTAAACATCTTTTTCTCGGTTCGATCCCGATGTGGCTTGGTTCCTTTCTGTTTAACTCCGTTCAAATGTAATATAAAATCATAAGGGTAAGCGGAAGCGCGAAGCGCATCAGAGGGTCGAATAGCGAAGCGGTCAGCGGTCGTTGCTCCCTAATTTCCTTATAAAAGGCACTATTTGAAAATGGATTCGTTTTATTCCATTTATTTTGAAATTAAAGAGGAATGAAGAATTATTAGAATTGTGTACAGTCAAAAAATCAAACACTTGCCAGTTGTTGAATGGTATTATTAAAAGGGCCCAATAAAAAAAATACAATTACGATTTTAGGAATATTTTAGCTACCCTATATCCGGAATTTTTTTTATTTTAGCACTTAATTTAGCTATTATATATAGGCACATAAATAAAAACGAAAGTCTATCACTGGCTGTTCATTCTATGACAACACATTATCTCTTGATTTATTTTTACAAATAACACTTTCTTAAGGCGCACCCTCTGCTCGGTGTATAGACAAAGTGTTGACGTCACCTGTTTTATGTTACTCATACCATCATTAATGTGATATGATTAACTTTTATTCCGTCGATTCCCAAACTGTGCCGCCCCTTTCGCGGAAGATGCATTACGTGTAGTGAACTATCGCAGTTCAGGCATTATCTATCGGCTAATTTTGTGCTTCTCTCCTAATCTCTGAAGACCGAACCGATGGTTGTCAGAACTGGTGGACAAATTTGCCCGGAGAATGATTCCCAAGTCAAAAATTCCGCCTATTTCTCAAAAATTGGCACTATCGTTACTCCATCCTAACTGTGACCCTGACAAATTGTGTGACAATAATAGGAAAACCTCAAGTCGTCGAAGAATTAGCACATTTAATAGTGGGTGGCTGCACAAAGCTCAGGGAAGTCGACTGGAAAAGCAGAGGAAAACAATTGCTCGTATTTATGCTGAAAGGAACTGTGTACGCAGGGTTTGGGTGAGGCATACTTCGTTTTTGCATAAATACGTTCAATTGTACCTGTGACAATCGTAAGCACGGAAGATTTTCAAGGTGTATGAGCAGTTAGTTGCCCATTTCAACCCAAGTTGTCAAGGATATGCCCCCCCCCCTTTTCCTTGTTGTTATTATTTTGAAACAGACACAGGAATCTTGATTTATCCGCTACTGTCCCGCTTCGCCCCCCCCCCCCCGCGATGGCTACTTTCTCCTCCCACCAAAATATCGCGTGGGTTTTGCACGGAGCTTGGGTGCGCCTTTGCGGGAATACCGCGGTTGTTGCCAATTTTCACCATAAAATCTTATTTTTAATAACTTTTATGGGGAAATTTTCTGTAGATGAGTGAAGACTGAGTCAACACGAGGTTGACTACGCTGCTTGAACGCTGATTTTGTACCGAGTCATAAACAACACCTCGTATATTTGTTGCTGTGTTTGAAAAGTACGCTTCGTATGGCATGACGCATAAGCTGTTTCTGGCATTTGATTTCATCGGCACGTTGCAAAAATAGTGTAATTCTT